TGTCTAGCCGCCTCCCGGTGCGAAGGGGTTAATGCACTAACATGTACACCCATATACATGTAATGACCAAATGTTCAAATCATCCTACCCTAAGTGTGAGTCAAAATTATGAGAAACAGAAACAAACAAACAAATGACACAAACAACAAAAACAGAATAATATCAACAAGACAAACGTACGTTACATGAAATAATCTGATTTTTTTTTATGTGCCTGTCACATCTGACAGAAATGATTTCGCACGTTCAGCACATATCTAATTTTTCAAGAGTAAACAAGTTTTAAAAGTTTGAAATCAATCTTAATATTTCCATGGGTGCAGATATTTCCCACAGCAAATTACACAGGTCAGGCGAGACAGCGACACAAAAAAGGCTTTTGAACCCCAAATTTTACAAAATGATTCGTATGTGCGGAATGAATTTCCCCAATATGGGCGAATCACAGTAGTTAACCTCCAAGAGTTTTATAAGAAAATTTATTTTGGTCCCTCCTCCTATCGAACTGACTTCTCTGCCATATTTGTATGGTCCTGCTTGGTGTCCTTCTTCCATGTTCAACCCATCATTTCTAAGGTGCCAGCAGGTAAGCATACTGTACACCCTATGTACATGTACATGGTTGGTGACGGAACGATCTATGGTAATATCATTCTCATGCGTGATAGACAACTACACAGCCTAGTAATGGAATTCAGAGTCTCTTGCCCGGGACTGGTCTTCTCGAGTTCACAGGATATTTCTCAGGCTACCCTGGGCATTTTTTTCTGTTTGGATTTTCTTTTTTAAATGACCAAAATTACAACTTGTTTCTGGTTGTCTTAAGTTACATTTCACTAGCAGCTTTGTTAATATTTCTGCTGTGTATAGAACAAATTCTGTTACGTTTTTGTTTCTTGTACGTTTGTTCTGGGGGTAATTTTAGGCGGAGGAATTTCCACATGTACCGTATCAGAATTATGGAAATTACATCAGCTGCCACTGTGCATGTTGATTTAAAATTTAAACGTCAGTTCATAATCTTGGTGCGAAGGCAAAAATCAATCTAAATTTATAAGATCGTGGCATGGATGTGTAATTTCAATTTGTGCTGCAATGTACAAAGATTTTTTCACACATTTCAGCTCACGCAAACTTTACAGTAAGTTTTTTGAGAACATATAATTTGTTTTGTTATCGCCATTTCTTACAAAAGAACTAGCTGCAAAGGGTATGGCATTTCTAAAAATATACCAATGAACTGCCATAGCCTGTAATAGAGTCATTCCACGAAGTTCAGGCACAGTTTGTGACGGCGACCCTTGTTACATCAGTGAAAATAAACATCTTTTTTCCCTGCATGTGGATTCTAAATTGGCATTGTTCTAAATCTTGCTAGGTTCTTGTAGTGGTGTGCTTCATCTTTGCCGAATAATAATGACTTAATCTGTTGTAATGTCAAAATATTGAACAATAAAAGTTAACGATGTAACAAGGGACGCCGTCACAAACTGTGCCCAAACTTCGTGTTATGGTTATGGCAGTTCATTGGTATATTTTTAGAAAATTAAAACATATTGTTCTGGGTAGTATTGTTTTTCGCGGGAGTAATATCTTACATTCACATTTTTGAAATCCAACTGTAAAGAATCCCGAAAGCAAAAAGGCACATTTGGTGGGGAAAGAGGTGGAGGTAGAGAAAGGCAGGACCCACTGGGGTAGGCAAGACAGTACAGGGAATTACTGGAATGAAGAAGGGGGGAAATTCATGAGACCAGTTTGCGAGGCTAGAGTTCGCAATATATGAAGAAAAAATCAATCAAGTTTGCTGCGAAATTTGCCTGAGCTGATGAAATGCGGCGAACATTTTTGCACACTGCAGCACAGCTGTAAATTTATGTACATTAATTATGAACAAGTGCATGCCACACAAGTGGGTGTTACGAACTTGCCTGGAACTACGTACGGGCGGGTACCTGTGCATGCCAGCCTCATGCCAAACAGGCTCTGGTGGGCTTGCATAAAATGCGTAACTTGCACAGGTACAGTACATGTACACATACATGTATGCAGTGTACATACATGTACATTGTACATAATCCATTAACATGAACAGAAAGCTGAGCGTTGCACATGTACATGTATGTACATGCATGGGTATATGTGCTTGTGTACAAGACATATTGCAATTGAAAGTTGACCGGGAATGGACAATTCCTTTTCACACTTGTTCTCCTCCCTGGGAAGTCCTTTTCTTTTCACACGATGTGAGAACAATTTCCCATGATGGGAAAAACATTTTCACACTTTGATTTTCACACAAGTGGGAAAACAGTCTCGCACCTTTTCACACCAGTTAGGAAATATTTCCATGCTCCCTTTTTTTTTCTCTTCTTCTTCACATTTTTTATTTTTCCACTGAAGCAGAAAAACATTTTTACGCTATGAGAATTTGAAATGTGATTGAGAACCGCAATGCTTTCCACAAAATTTTCCCTTCCCAAATGTTCACAGTGTTAACTTTCAGTCGCACTGCAAATACTTTACAAAACCTGGTACTGCACACGTATATGTAACACATTGACAAATGTGTACGGGTACGCGATGGAGAGAGCACGAAACAATGTCAAATTGTACAACTGAAACAAAATAATCGCAATTGGAACCTGGAGATTATAAAATGGCGGATTTACACGTGCCACACATGCGGTGTCATCGGCTGCACCCACGGTAGTGTTTCTTGAATCCTGGCTGATTTCTATAAAATATTTGACTTTAATATGCTTGACCTTCTCCAGTGAGCTTCTCCCCTTTTTTTGACCTGAACCCGGTGACAAAACATAGCACGGGTGTTGTGATTGTTATAAAAAGAGCGTAATAAAGAAGTTTTCTTTTTAAATTCTTGTGCAGTTCTGGCAAATTTTTGTAACACAAACATTGCACATGTGCACTGTACACTCACAACCCTTGCTTTATAACAGCATATGCTTTAGTGCTACTGGCATATGAATGATAACAGTGACGATACATGCACCATACAAACATCCTTCAGACAGCTACGGACCCACACAGTTGATTAAAAATGGCAGAAATAAATCTGTCTTCTATTCCCAGGCGACCCCCCTGCCGAATTTTTAATCATTAAACACAACCGTCTACAACCGGTCTGAATGTTTCGTGTTAAACGTCCATCTGCATCCACAACCCCCATGCACATGTACACATCTTTCTGGTGCTGAATTCATCGTCTAACACTTGGCAATGCTGCCCAATCATTCCCTCTGGATTTGTACTTCTCCTACGGTTCATCCAATCCCTCCCTAAATCAGATTTGATGACAAATACTCAGCACGCCTAGCACCATCAAGAAAAAACCAGCAAAAATTCTCCGGGCTACGAACCAATTTCTGGCATAGCTGGCTTTAAAACAACTCGGCCTATTCTCAAACATATAGATGTTCTGGAGGGCAGGGAAAAACAGGGTTACGAGTTCTGTAAAGACTTCTGCAGGATGCGAGCCACAATGTTGATTTCTCAGTCTAGTGTGTGCAGTCTGGTTCCATGACCTGAAAACGCTGAGGCATGTCTTAATACAACAAAGAACTCATTCAAACCCATTCACAACTCCTGCAGTTTTGAACCTCACACTATGCATTTTGTCTGTACGGGCCATATTATAAATTTGGGGTCCAATTTTTGATAATGCGCGTTCAGCACACATTAACTAATTTTCTAGAGTTATGCAAATAACCTGCTCAATAAGTTTCAAAAGTTTGAAATCAATTTTAATATTTCCATGGGTGCAGATATTTCCCACAGCAAATTACACAGGTCAGGTGTGACAGGCACACAAAAATGTCACACTTTTGAACCCCAAATTTTACAAAATGATTCGGATGCGTGGAACGAAGTTTCACCAATGCTGGCGATTCACAGCAGTTCCCCTCCAAGAGTTTGCAACGCATTAGCCAATCACAACGCGCAAAATCTGTCGACCCCTTCCAAACGCACATTGGGTTGACTGATTTCATGTGTTGTGATTGGCCAACGCGTTGCAAACTCTTGGTGGCGCACTGTTGTGAATCGCCTGTATTGCAAACTGCAAATTGAATAAGTCATATTAGTTTGAGTTCAATGACCTACCCAGCAGATTCTATATGGGGAACGACAAAGCGTCAAAACCTTAATTGTTTCTGTGTGTTCAGTGTACATCCATTCTCAACTGGAAATCTCTTATGAACAACATCACTGTCTTTTAAATGACTGCAAGTGGTACGCTTTCTCGGGTGATTCAAAGCATGCACTTGAGAGAAAGAAAAGCGAAACATTTCTCAAAGATTATAAAATTTCAGAAGATGCTTCTGTGGAAGAACTGTTGCATACAGTAGCCTCCATGAAATATGAGTAATGTGACATGCAAAATAGTCATCCAAACACTGCGACCACCACCGATGGAACGTGTACAAATGCATCATCATCACAAGAGCTGGACTCAATAACTGTCAATTTTAAACTGTGGAGAGGCCAATAGCACAGTTCCATTTTGTATCTGTGAGTGCTCTGAAATATTCTTTACAGAATTTCCTCGAACATTTTCTCAGTACTTCCCGAGACAACAAATGGAAGTCTTTTAAGCCAATAAACTTCTCAAAAGCAAAATGTTCCTGACAATGCACGTTTCCGGTTAATGCTCTCTGATAGCAATGAACTGGAGCTCCCAGCTGAGTTTTAGCAATTTCTTTGCTGTCCATCTTTAATAATGGAATGAGTGCGCTAATGAGAAGTACACAAACAGCTTAAAGTCGTTCGCTTCATAGCAAACATTATATACGTGTACAGTGTAACCTTTTTGAAACAGACACATGCATCTTTCAGCAATAGGCAACCTCTTAAAAATAAACCGGCTAAACACCAGTCTGTCTTCAAAGTGTGAACTGCAGTTGAACAAAGCAAAAGAAAGTCACACTTTCTACTGAGGTTGTACTGGCTGTCAGATACACATTCTCAACCATGGTAACTTCACAACCAATGAAATCCCAGCGAATGGAGGCAGTGGGAGGAGCCAGTGCACTTGAGGACAAATCAAATGTCATATGCAAATAAGGGTTGCATGGCGGGAGCTTTGGAATGAATATGCAAATGATTTGGGCGTGTTTATAAAAATACACCATACATCACGAGTGGCTGTACATGTACATGTATGACTGGTAAAAAGAAAAACGGACAGAGGTGGTGCTTCTTATGCAAATGACATCAGAGCTAGAAGCAGATGAATTTGGCTTTGTAGAGTAAGCAGATGCAGCTGAAGTGTTAAACGAGTCTGACCTTGTAGCGTTTAAAATGTCCCAGGATTGACACAGCCATCGCCAGGGATGAAGAACTCTGTTTTTTTTTTTTACGAGGGAATGGATTAGAATGGAAAAGGGCATATTAGTAGTGGCAAATATAGATTATTTACAGGACGCACATCTGTGATGGATATTAAGATGCATGATACGTGTACAATGTACATGTTAGTAGCTGCTTGGATAAATGTCAGAGTGTGAAATTGAGGCTTAAAGATTAATCCCGATGGGAAGCGGAAGAGCGGCAGGGAACAGCTGTGAGATCAATGCAGATGCAGGCCTACTGAATCGATTTACACTGCAGCAGCAATGAAATTTTTCTCCGATGCAATTGCTCACCAACTTATATTATACGCTCGTCTTCGGTCAAATATCATTTGGCTTCCTTTTCAGGTTAAATGCACTGGAAGGTGCACTTATTCAAAGTGGTAAAATTGTCCATGCTTTCCTGGACAACTGCGTGATGTCATCCAGGGAAGGCGTAGTTCAGCACGCAGGTTTTTCTGTTCGAACTGTGAACCGCAAATTGTACCGCAGAAAAATATTTTGTTTGCTTACTGCTGGTATGTATTTATACTACAATGAATCTGCAAAGAAAAGAAAATCTGGGTGATCAAAATTAAAAAAAAGTAATTTTTCCTCATTAGCTCATTAGCATAAATACCAAAAGGCAGCAAAATACTCTTCAGAATAGTGCGAAAAAAATTGCAAATGAGGTTAACTGAGACACACAGGTTCAGTTTTGTGATGTGTATTTAAAAACTTGCATTGCAGAGACCCTCTGATGACTAACATCAGCATTTTAATACAAAAATAGGGAGTGGGGGTGTCCAGCTAATTACAAAAGGGGGGAGGAACCCAGAAATGGAGACGAACCTGAAAATACAAGCTGGGTTTATTAGTACATAAAATAGTTGTTTTCTTTAAATTATTAAATAAGAGGTTGAGAAAAAAGCAATGGAAAAGGTGAAAAAAAAACCTGTAGGTAGGAAGGCGCACACTACGTGTACTCGTACATGTACCGTATGAACCCCGAGCTGGACCAAGAGAGGGCACAATTTTCTTAGCAACGGAGGCTCCTTTGGTCACAACTGAACTTCACCGGTTTATTAACAACTATGAAATTCACGTGTTATGGTCACATCGCTACCAACAAAATGAGCACTCCCGACCAATACACATGCAGCTCTTTTCAACCAATGAGGGGGTGTTTCTGCTCAATACGTACCAATAAGTGTGCCCCCTCTACATTCACTCCTGAAATATGCGAGTAAACATGAAATTTTCCTAAATTTTGGAGGAAAATCCTAAGAAATCACAGCCTACATGTACATATGTAGTTGATGGTAAATTGAAGCAGAGGCGACTGGTTCTTATGCTCTCTCCTTCGTACCTAAGGCCCCAGCCATAAACAACATTCTATCTGTTGGTTTGATTTATGTTCACTTATAACGACCAGGGGTATTAATACATTTATGCAACCTTGGTCACGATTCACCCATGCCCCTCCCCTGGATATCACCCGACGGCAGTAAATCAACAGCTCGGCCACTATTTTTGGACATGCCTGCAAGTCCTTTTATAAGATGTGGTGTTCCTGTCAACAATGCTGCCCAGACGTGACAAAATGCGGGCTTTGGAAACATGGGCACATGTACCTAGATGTCGTCAATGTTTCCCCTTCAGAAGCTGGAGAGTGTGAAAGATATGAAAAAGGTGGACGAGCATAAAATACTGCAAATATTCAGAGCGTTTCTCATTTCTCCAAACAAACCAACAAATAAGACTTGAAGGTTTTCATGGTGAAAGAACTATATGGGTAAAACGATTGCGGTTACACCAGGGATCAATCTCTTTCTTGAGTATGTGTGGTTCTGAGAAGAACCGGGGAATTACTTGACGTTTCAAACAATGTCCTCTGTGTCCTGAAGACGGACAGAGTACACTGTTCGAAACGTCCAGTTATTCCGCGGTTCTTCTCAGAACCACACATACTCAAGAAAGAGACTGATCCATGGTGTAACAGCAATCGTTTTACTCAAAACCAACAAACTTCTTATGATTCCCGGCCATGAACCCTCTAATTCACCGAGTCAACACCATTCACTGATTTGCAATTGGCCAGCATCTGTTTGAGATTTCAAGCCTGAACGTGTACATGTATGTACAGTACATGTACGCACGGGACGGTGTACCATACATACGTACATGTACATGCACACAGAGTTTGTTAAACTGACAAATGAAACTTTTTGGGGGCTCAGTTTCATTTCATCAGGGAATCCTTTTTGACTGTTCACTATGACAGTGATGTTGGCACAAAGGCCACAGACGATTTCCAAACTGGAACTTGGAGATGGAACACTAGAAAACATGTACGTAAATGATAAAATTTAATCACCGTAAACGACAGCCGGCTCACATGTACTGACCAGAAACACATGTACATGTACATGTATATGTGTATATCAAGCCAGTCAGCCAACATGTATGTGTGTACGTGGACATGACCAGCTGGGAGCCAGCCAGCCGGCCTCCGGAAACGTGGCCATACTACAGGCACCCAGCTAGTATTCGGACATTTCTTCAACTAAAATGGATTCATGATATAACAGAGCCCACTTAGGACGTTCAAAGAATCCCAGCACATCATCCAGATTGTGAGTGACAAGGCTTTTCTAATAAAGCTTCTGCTCGGGCAGACCGATACGTGCAGGCTCTTGCGAAGTAAACCAAATAACAGAAATAAAACTGCCAACATAAACGATGAAAAGAAATCAAGCATTATTAAATAACTCGTCTGCTTGTCTTACCTGGTCATTGTTATTTTCTGTCTCATCAGTTTCCATACTGTCACTGCAATCCTGATCTACACAGCGCAAACCACACTGGTCATGCCCACACTTTGCACTTTCCAACAGCCAACGCAGTTACCGCAACGACTGTGAGCAAGTTTTGGTATACACGCCGATACTGTTGCTTTCAATAAAACGTACAACAAATGCAAGCAGGTGGCATACACAACTGTAAAGTACATTACGTGAGACTGACCAGCATCAAAACAAGGAAGAAATGTGGCCTGGGACCAAACTTCTGTCAAGACTCAAAACAAAATCTCTCTCCTGAGCCAGCAGGAAATAGAGGGATTTTAAGCATGACAGAAGAATTCTACTCTCCCCTGACAAAACAAACAACTGCCTGTTTTATGGGATGGGGGGTGTCAACAAAATCTGACAGGTACACAGGGATTATCTTGAGAGCACTGTGTGAGGTAAAGCTAGTGTACATGTACCTCCCAGAGGCATGGGGATCGTGATGACACTACATGAGACACCTTGCCGAGAGCAGTCCATTGTAGTCCCCAAATCCATACACAGGTGTACATGTATTTTACACTACCAATTCACGTAGTTGGCACGATCAATCAACAACAACAAAATTACTGAAACTATTTATAGGTGATTTTGTTTTCTAATATTCAGTGAGAACCACAGAGTACATGTTGTAGACAGCTTCAGAAATGAAAAACGTTTTTATTCCAAAGAAGCCAAGGTAAATACGGTTCTGGTATATGCAGGGAGGAAGGAGCCTTCCTCCATGATATATGTAAATAATATGTAAAATAATTACGTTCCCTGCCTCCCTTTCAATTGACGACTGTTTACAAAGTTCCACTGAAACGTTTTGCAGTTCACTCAGCCGTGGTAAACATGGCATCCTTGTCCATGTTACGTTGTTTGACATGTGCACATCAGACACATTGCATTTTATTTCTTTTTTCGGGTAGCACGCAGATTCTGTCTTTGCTGCGAGCCAAGTTTACTTGAAGACAAATGCGTTATCATGTCTATGCTCACGGAATAATGTAGTGCACCTGTGTCCCACATACGGTACCACGCAGCCTTCGGTCTCATGGAATATGGGACACTGACACACTGCATTATTCCATGTTTCCCTGGCACTTTAGGTGTGTTGAGAGTGTACATAAAACTATGCTTGTGCACATTCCCATGAAAACTTGTCATGCATTTTCATGGACTGCCAGTGCGTGCAAGTTCCACTGCCAGCAGACCCATTACTGGCAATCATACTGTGGCTTCTTGGTGGGAGAGAACTGTCACCGAATCATGAATTATGTGCACGTACATACCTGTACATGTATGCTCAATGTACATGCATACACGCAGTGTAAGTTCAATCACTCAGTGTTTGGTAAGCAGAAATTGAGAAAGAAACATCCCTCCCGAAAATGGTGAGCCCAAATTATTTTGTTCATCACAGATATGGAAATTTAGAAGTTGCAATAAGACACAAACAGAGCACTTCCAAGATTCTAACAAGATCATACATTCCATGGACCCTTTAAAATTTCCACCTTTCCCCTTCAATACCCATCTCCAACTTCAACACACAGGGGCTGGTGAAGCTTGGCTTTTCAAACAAAATCCCTCCCCAGGGGCATAACAAGGTGTGAGTGAGGTTGTCCTGTCAGGACCCAGTGCAGCTGCCAGGTCAATTTGACCCAGCCACGGACCCTCTACTCAAGTCCTTGACCCAGCCAAGAAGCCACAATCAGCAGTCTATACTGTGTACATGGTGCACATACATGTACATGTACCCCTACATGAGTAGGACCCATGCTTGTACCATGGAGCTAGCTAGGAACACATCTGAAAACAGGGTACATGTACATGTAGTACATGTGGGTAGTAAATCTTTCTTTTTATTGGTGGAATTTAAAAAAAAAATACTTATTCAGAGTATCCCTGAGTATTAACTGATTAAATATTAACACAGCAGGAGAGGTCAGGTGGCATATGTTTCAAATAATAGTAATAACATTATCACAGGTACAGGTACCATACTACAAGTAATCTATAAAAAAAAGTCTGTAGAACTTTTTTGCATAACACTGACACTACAAGTAAAACAGACACATCTTTTTTCTTCCTTTACTTCAAATTTCACACTTTCCGAATAATTAATGCGCTATCAGGTTTTTTTTGGGGGGGGGAATGGGCTTACTATGCCCAAGCA